CTCCCTTTCCATTTTCTCCCTTATTTTAGCGTTTCGCTTGGAGCATTTCTCAAGACGTTGTCAGCTCTTCAATGGTAAATGCAGCTGCCACTTTGGCCAACTTGTTGTTGACTTGTTGCCACTCTGACCGTTCGGAAGGAAAAGCGGAAATGAAGTTGGCAATGCGGAAATGCAATTTTTCATGATTTCTACAGACACACACACTCCCTCTCAAAGAGATAAATATGGGTGCTTTCCCCTTTTGTTTTCTTTGCCCCACTTTATCGCTGGTCTCTTTTGGTTTGCTTTTGACAAATTGTTTGGCTTTGCCGGTCTAATATTAGCAGTGCATATCTTTCTACGAAGACCGACTGCATCTGGTGATAAATAAAGTACCGTCTGGTTATTGTCTTGGCCTTTTATCTAATTGGAATGAGTCGGTATTTATGGGTTTCATATGACCCAAAATGGATTGTAGACCATTTAATAAAAGTAAAGTATTCAGTCATTTAACTTAAATAGAATTGTGCCATTATTTGGCACAACAGTATTAAACACATAACATACCCCAACTTCCAACATATCTGTCATGTTCGTTACGACTTAACAAAGTTCCCTTTACGTACCTGCAAAGAGAAAAAGAATGAAAGGCCATTATTAACAAACAGATTCAATTTACAGCAAATATTGATGGTCATCGCCGACTATTTTTAATGGCTTTAACCGAGAATTCAATGTCTGGCGGAGGGGACGCAGCTCAAGCATCGATCATAAATGATGGAGTGCGGCAATCAAGATAAATGGTTCCGTCGAGTGCCGGAGGAGCCATGGGCAAAAGAAATTCACGACTCGGCGGCTATTTATTGTTGAACTCTCGATGACATCACTGCGTATGCGCAATGTGCGACGAGAACGGTTTAAAGTGGCAAACAAAAAAAAAAGACACAAAAATCAACCAAACTATTTACAAATTGTTGGACCCTTCATAGAAAGTCATAAATTGAATGCGTTCCATAAAAGCATTATCGAATATTTAGAGCAAAGTTCTGGCTTGCTTCTTTGGTAAAATGGCAGTGCCGGAAGAGGGCGGTAATATTCGGTGGGTGTGGCCCAATTTTATGGGCTCGAACATTTTTTACGAGCACTTATTTCCGCCCCAGAAATTAGACAACTGCTTGGGAATCGTTTATGCCCGAAAGGGTGTTGTGCCCCAATAGGTTGAGACCTTTCTTCTCTCTTGCCTTGGCTCTATCTCTGTGAATTTATGATGTGTGTAACAATTGGGCCATTGTTAAGGTTGCTCTCGGCTATTCTCTCGAGTATGTCATGCAAATTCTGCTTATTTTATTTAATGCGATTTTTACGAGTGCCAAAAGGAAGGGATTAATTCGCTCCCGTCAGTGGCTCAATTTTCGGCCCTTGGATAAATAATAATTTCCATTGGGGTTTATTTTCCCCGAATAACTCTTTTATACTGCCCAGTGATGCTTAAAATTTAACTTTCCGACATTTGTCATGTTTTGTTTGTCTGGTGTTTTGGTTTCCCCTTTGGCGCAATTGGTGCCCCAACAAGCCAAAAGGCTGTGGTACGTGCAGAGGGGCTGCTGCTAAGCCTAAAAGTATGCATAACTAAAAAGAGCACGTTCCACAGATAACCGAACAACAAACGGAAAGGAAAGCAAGAAAGGCAGACAGAAAAACAAGACATCAATAACAGTGAACCGAAAGAAAAACCTTAAAAAAACTTAAAGTACTGGACATATCTTTGAAATGTATAAACTAAACTGACATTTCAAAAATTAGAACTCTAAAATTTGGCTTATATTGATTTTAAATCTCATGAAAAGAGAATGCTTTTATAACTTATGTTAACTTAACTTACTTCTTCCTAAAAAAATATTAAAAAAAAGTCTTGTAAAGTCAAACTTAGTTTTTAATCTCAGTTTCTCCCAGTGCATATGAATCTGTGTGATTTTTGGGTTCTCCCCAATGTGTGCGTGTGGGATAACAGATATGTTTGTTATTTAGGCAAATGATTTTTCGCTTCGGGTCTGTTTGCCAATGGACCGGAAAATGCAAGCCGAAACGCAGCTGTGGCAAAACTGTTCGCATTTAAATGGGTCACAAGGTCGCAGCATAAAAGGAGAAATGCTCAAAGCCAAACAATAACAAAGGCCAAATAAAATGAGTTGTCCGGGACTAATGCAAAACGGAATCCAGGGAAACCACACAATGGGCTGGTGGAAAAACTCCGCCATCGAGAAAAGCGAAATTGAACACAAATGCAGTCAAAGCAGTGCAGAAACATCAAGGCACTACAATGGCAAAAAAACCGAATGCAAATATCAACAAACAATGATACAAAAATAAAAAAAAAGCAAAGCGAAACCATGCGAAGCGCTAAAAGTGACAGATAAATATTGACGCAAAATTGAACAAAAGCCAGAACTAAAAAAAAATTTAATCAAATTTCACAAGCTTAGCGCAAGGATACCTGTAGTCTAGATAAATACATTTTCTTAAAGACATATATTTAAATTTGTGTTTTTACAGAAGGTGTCGTAGATATTAAATTTAATCTCGAGTAAACGTAAATGTGTTTAGAATTTCGCTTTGGAACCAAAAAGCAATACATTCATTTGAGATTTTGTTGAGTAACCTATAACTTTAGCTTATAAATGTTTGTGGTATCCAAAAATTTATAAATATCTCTGGTGATAAGCAAAAGGAAATAAAATTTCCCTTCAACTTAATACTTTTGCCTTTAATGAAGCACAACTATTCAAGCCTGAAAAACACTCAATTTAATATGTAAATACTTACAAAAACCTCTGTAAAGAGAATGCCAGAGATTTACAATTTTAACTTTTCCAGCTAACCAAAACAATTTTTCATACCGTCCACAAAATAGAATGCATATATTTGTTGGTATTGGCGTGTAAAAACAAATAAGGCAACATCAATTAAAAACAATAAATAAAAGCCGGAAAACTTTTGCATTGCATCAGCAGAAAATGAAAACGAAACCGGAGCCGAAACAAAATAGAAACGGAAAACAAATCATCGCAGGGTACAGGCTTTTAACAATAGTTTATTGCCTTTCTCTAAACAATATCGCAAGCAGCGAGGCCTGTTTGTTTTGGCTGGGGAAATTGCGAAACCGCAAGCTGTTGCCAGAACCTGGCCCAAAAATGAGCCACCGGAAAAGCGCCCAGTCCCCCGTGAAACCCCGAAAACCTTGCCACAACTTTTTCGCTCAACATGAATATCAATATTTGTAAGCAACTGTTGTAATTTACATATATCTCTGGCTCTTTCCCTTTGCCAACCAAACATGGAAACTTTTTAATTTTCGTTTTCATGGCCAAAAGCACCCTTGTCTTCGCTCCCGCTCATGTTGATTGCACATCATTTTCAATGTGGCCCGCTACCGAGTCTATTTTTTCGCCGTTTCCATTTACCACGAGCTTATGTACGGCTTAGTGACGTATTAAACAATTGAAAAGCATTTTCACAGACTGCCGCAGTACAACAAAAAATATAAAAATCTACGAAGCGAAAGTAGAGGAGCAGAGAAAATTGATTGCCATTTCAGGGGCAATTTTTAATGAACAGCAAATAACAATGACGCCAAGGCTTACCCATAGAAATGTGTTACAAATGAAAAAAGAGAAGCAACATGGTACATGCCACAAGTTACAAGTCAAATTTGGAAAATGACATTTCTGATATGCGCTTCATGGCTTGTTTTGATTTAGCATCAAACTGTATTTTTTATGGGACTTGGAATATTGTGAGTGACAAAAAACAATTTAATATAAGAGTAAAAACTAACTAGCTATAAATTTAGTTTTTGTAAATAATTAATTATTAATTAATTGTAGTGATTTATTTAAATTGTAGTAAAGTACGGTTTAATAATAACAAACATCTGTATTAGATTCTTCAAACATTTTTCAAAATATTAAAAAAAGTACATCAATAAATTCCAATCGCTATGTTTTTTAGTAGACCTAATAAAATACGCAATTTAACCCTTTGCCGTGGACTTGTTTTCTTTCGCTAGGTAATTCTTTTAAATCACATCAGATTAAATGCTTTTAGTTTCGGCATTCCCTGACATCCTGGCAATCAGTTTTAGCCCCGTCAACAATCCGGACCTATGTCAAATATTTTTCCAACCAGCTTAACCATTCAAACTCAGGAGGCCCGGCTGGCGTAAAATGTTTTTGATGTCTACCACGCCAAATGTGGCAAATTCCTGGGCAACATGCCGCATAAATAAAATGCCCCAAATGCACTCGACTAAACACACTCGCCCACACTCGCATATACACCCACCCACTCAGCCACACACACAGATGAGGTAGTCAATATTTGGAGAGCGAATTCGTTTCTGGTTTTCGGGGAATTTAGTCAAATTTATTTGTTGCCATTTGTAGCGAATTTCGGTGGCACTCAAGAACTCAGCAATTTGTTTATAAACTATTTTATGCATTTTGCAATCTTGGCGCGATAAAAGTTAGCCCCTTTGCATAACATAAAACTCGAAGTTTAAGAGAGACACAAAATTCGACTTGGCTTCGGGTGTTGGTATATAAACAACTTTAAAAGATTTAAACACTTTAGCCAATTTTTTATTGAAATGGACAGTAATTCAAATGTTTTATTTTATTGCTTTTATATATATATTATAACGTTAATCGGCTTTAATAAATGTATTTGCATAAAATACGATTAAGCAAAAAAGTTAATCGAAAGCGATTTAAAATCATTTCATGAAGATAGAATATTTTATAGAAATGGGAAATTGAATATCAAATTGCAATAGTTGTTATTTTTATTATAATAAAAAAATATATACTGGGAAAGACTTAAATCCATTTGAAAATATATTTATATTTGCGTTACAAAAACCACTGAACTCTGAGCTCTCACTTCCAACCACTGTATTTTTCTAGAGTGTTTTCGGTTTTGCCTAATAAAAACAGCTGAAGTAAAGTTCAATATTTATCACTCACCTGAATTGGGTCCATTGCTATTGGGTCGCGCCGAAGGAGCTCCATCCCGAGCCTCCACTTCGAGGGCATAGGCGCCCTTCTTCTCCCTGTCGAACACGGTTTTCGTGAATATCTCTCCACTCTGCAGGTTGATTTCAAAGAATTCTTTGCCCTCGTTTCGTGGCGAATCGACAATGTAGTAGTAGACCTGCAAGACAAGATATTCTGGTTTATTTCTGCTCGATTTTCTGGTTAATTAAAACATGGCGCTGATACACACACACACACACACACACGCCACATATAACTTCAAAAGAAGGCAAATGAGAAATTTAACTCGAAACTCGAAAGTAAGGAAATGAGAGAAATTTAATTACTGCTTCGGACATTAAAGAGGAACGATAATGATAATCAAATCCCGTGACCGTTTGAGGGGTGCAGCGGGACTATAAATGAAAACGCTAATTAGTGCGGACATTTCGCGCGTACATGCAAATTACTTGGCTTTAGGACACAAATTGTGGCTGGCTGAAGACTAAAAAAAATAACCCCAAAGTGCCATATTATTATAATCGCGAATGCGGCTTGAGGGGTCTGTCTGAAAGACCGGACCCATCTCCGCCCTTTCATCACAAAAGCCATAGCCTGCGGTTGTCCGCGTTCTGCATTTTGCATTAGTTTTTTCCCCTCTATCGCCCTGGACTTTCACCAGGGGCTTAGCACACACTTGGAAGGCGTGCAAAAATGTTAACTCTTTGACATTTATTAGCCAGCTGCCAGCTGATGGCCAAATGGACGAAGGACGTGGTCAGCGAAGGAGCAAAAACAATTACAAAGGCGTGAAAGGGTCGGTGAAAGCAGGGTGAGATAAATTTAGGTGGGGCAGAAACGGAGTGAAACATGAAGATGGCGATGATAATGTTAATTTAAAGGGATTTAAGCAGGCTTCTTTGAGGGAATTGCAAGATGAAGGGTTTTAAGAGATTGCTAATGCTATGGGAAAAAAAGGAAGGTGGCGTTGCCTTAGAAATTAAATTTTAATATGCTTTGGATGAATTTCTACAGAGATATTTAAAATAATTAGATTTTAAATAGCTTTTTGTCTTTTAAACTTATGGTGGTTCAATGTGAACAGTTTTCTTATATTTAAATTAGCATAATTATTTTATTGCTAGAGCTCTGTGTATATGGCAAATTTAAAAATCGGTTTCATTTGATTGCTTATTGACATTTTGTAAACAAATGCAAGTATATTTTTTGTTTGTTCTTAAATTCTGCTTAACTGTTTTTATTATAGTTTCTTTGACAGTAATTTTATTTTATTTCTTTAATATGAATACCGATTTACCAATCGCCGGTTTAAAGCAAATAGCTGACTTTAAGTAGTCTTGTTAATAGTCTTATTCCTTCTACCTTTCACCTGTATCTTCACCCAGTCACTTTTTTCGATTTTCCCATTTTCATTTCGGTGCCATTAATTTGCTAGCAATCGTCTGGCATTTCCGCCGAGTTCCCCCGATTTCACCCCATTTCGGGGGATGGGGAGAGGGGCTCTGGAGGGTACTGGAACTCACCTGATTATTTGGGAATGTGCCATCCTTGTCGATGGCGTTCACTTGTGTCACTTTGGTGCCAATCGGTTCGCCCTCGAGCACCGTTTCCTGTTCGCGTTCGGTGAATAAAGGTATTTCATCATTAACATCCTCGAGCATTATGTAAACGGTCGCTTCCGATGCCAATTGTTGGGCCCCGTTGTTCTGGAAAGAGTGGCGCAAAAAAATGGATGAAAGGCAATTTAAAAAAGGGTATACATTTGATTTTTTTTATAACTTTCTTTTTCGTTCTGCTGGCTGTTTGTTTTTTAATTAAGCAATAAAGTGTTTTTAATGAGTTCCGTTGCCCGCTTTTTGCCTCTGATAAAATATTTGTATATTAATTTGTGTTAAAAGTTGGTTGATTAAAAAATGTTTGACGTACTTTAGGTTCTGCGAAAAATTCTCATGAATTTTGTATACAAAAAAAAAATGGTTTTCTTTTATTTGTATCGATGGTTATTTGAGCTGAATTTCGGTTTTACACTTTGCCAGATGATTGATTAAATGAATCGCATCAATCAACATAACAAATTTCACTGGCGACTTGTCGTTTATTAGTTGTTTTATAGCCAGATTGTTAATATTCCGGACAAACGGTTTATTTGCACAATATTTGGCATTCACGGCATTACGTTATTAATCAATGCATATGAAATCGATATACACATAAACACATGTTTACACCAATGTGGACAGCAGCAAGGACTCTGATGGAGAGCAGTGCCAAAATGAATTATTTATTTTGTGCTCGTTCCATTTTCCTTGGCAAACACATGCGTATTGCCAAGGCCCTAATTAGACTTGTTATTAACGGGGTTTGAGCACATAACTTTGATTGGTTGTCCGCAAAAGCTTAAATCGAGCTCAAACCCTTTTTTAAATTATTGATTTAATTTGTTTGGAAAATTTAAAATTAACTATGGTATAACAAATTACAATTATTAACAATGAATGTAAAGAAATCGCCTCTAATATCTTCCGCCAAATTAATTACGTTTCTAAATTGCTTAAAAAAGTTTGCACCAACCGCAGGCTGAACAAATGACATATTTCCCAACCGCAATATCAAAAAAAAAGTGAATTAAAAATTAATACGAATATATTGTCAAACAAATATGCGGAAATATATCCATTCATGGCTTCCCTAAAACCGCAAAAAATATTTTCAAAATTCATTTGGCAATTCATTTCGCCACCCATCAAACGTTTTGGGCCCACTGGAGACCATTAGCTTTTAGTGGGTCATTTGCAGGCAATGAAAGAGAAGCCTTGTGATATTTAATTACCTGCACATCGAGTGCAATATTGTGGAAATCCTTTTGCGCAATTGAATTTTTGCAACATTTCATTAGGCAAGTTTGTCACGATGCGCTGTGGTTAGCAGCGGAATTCTCGTTAATATTTCAGCAGGCGGTTTATTTAGTCTGGCATTCAATTTGTCCTTCGCTGAATAACCAAACTAATGAGGAAATGCTAAAACTTGACATTGATTGGGAATGCAATTGATTACCGCTCAGCCGCGGGCTGTCACTCAGTCAGTCCATCATTCAGTCACTCAATCAGTTAGTTTCTAATGAATTCGAAACGAACCGGAGCTCCAATTTGCATTTTCCGGCCAGGAAACTCGCGCAAGTAATTAAAACTTTTCAAATCAAATAATTACAAACGTATTTGGAAGTCATTCTCAAATACAAAAGTCAAATACATGTCTAATTGGGCCTAAGACCGACTTGAAAACTTTCGCCTGCCGTCTGCGAATGGTGCAAACATTTGGCAACTTTAAATTGAATTCGCTTTTCGGGTTTCTTATTATTTTTTTATATTGCCTAAACTTACCTCCACACGTATGGTTAGATTGTATTCCTTGATGCTCTCGTAGTCCAGCGGATGATTTACTTTTATATCGGCCCAAGTGTCGCCATTGTCCGGTCTTTGTTGCAAGTAGAACGTGTGAAATTTGTTCGTTTGGGCCGTTGACCCGGGCATCAGTCGATAGAAAACTGTGGGATTGCCTTCAATGCCCGAACTGCAGACGTCGAGGCCAAAAGGTCAAGTGTAAAACAATAGAATGCATTAGTAAAATGGTAATAAAACTATTTTAAGTACGTTGTTAAATACTTGCTACATGAAATTATGTACTGACTACAAATTAAATTGTTAAATATATATTAAGTTTATCAAAAATCAATTGTATAATTATGAAAGAGAGCAAGAGAAGAAAACTCAGTTTTCAGTAAATGAACTAAACTTTCTCTTGCTCCAAAAACATTCATACATTCACACACACAAAAATATGTCTCTGTTTGAACACATGCGACATAACAAAATACAAAAATACGACGCATGAATGGAATTCTTGCTCTTAAATAAGGTGCAGCCAAAAACTTTGCATTGTGTGCTTTAAAAATTGTTACACAGCAAAATTCTGTAAAGCGTCTTTTGTGCAGTTAAAAAACGGAAAACCGAAAAAAAACCGAATACAAGCCAAATGGCCTCAAAAAATCTAATTGCCATTTGACTGTTTCGGGAATGGGTTCGGCACATGATAATGAAAAACAAATTAGGCGCAAAAAAGGAGCAAAATATATACACACTGTATATATAAAAATATATTATTTGAGCCTGGACAACACTTGCAGCTGACAGAAGAGGACGTTGAAAAAAAGCCTTAAGAACGGGTCTTAAGAATAAATGAAAACTGTCAGGACTGCGCAAAAATGCTGCCAAGGACAAAAACGACACAAAAAAATTATTGTTGCGAACAAAAAATATCATGGCGGAATGGTGGGTGGGAAAATGGTTAGGAAATTTGTGGATTGCATGAAATTTTCTTGGAGGTTTCGTTTCGTTTTGTAGTGGTTCTGTGATTGGATGTGGTGTAAGTAGATTTTAATTTCATTGATTGTGTTGGATAACCTAAAATAAAGTGTTTGAAAATTATATACTTATTTGTTGCTGTACACTGAGCACATTTGGTATATTTTGTAGGTTGTTTTGCAGTTTGCTTAAAGCCTTGACTAATTGCTATTGACTTAAACTAAGTATAAAAAAAATCAAAAAACAGAAATCAACAATAGTCAACAGAATTCTATTGATATATATATGGGAATTACGCCCTCGACCTTGCCGCCATTGTGTCTTGAGCCCTTAAGGACTCGCGGCGCCCCAAGAGAAAACACAATTATTATGATATACACGCACGCTAGGGAGTCCTTCTACCCGTCCCTTTTCAAACACTTAAACCCTCTCCTAATGGCTTCTTATGTATATATACATATTGTTAACAAATTTCTGTGCTGGGACATGACCAGATAATTGCGAAGAAGAAAACTCAGGATGAAAATGCTTTTCATTCGAAATAATTTAAACACATAAAAAACAGAGGCGAGAAAAGAAAACAGAAAGCAGAACCCAAGCACGTTTAATAGATTGTAATTTCCTTAATATTGCGCTGGGGAACAGAAAGGAAGTGTACTTAAGGACACTAAACTAACGCTAAACAGCAGATTCAGAATCAGGCTCAGGTGTGTGCAGGTGCGTATGTGCAGTATTCTCACTTTTTTTCAGTATACTCTTATACTCTATTTACGTTTGTTTTTATTTTTTACGTGGCCTTTCGGCTTAAGTGCATTTGCTTTTAGTGCGGCAACAGAGAGGAATGTGCATGGTAAAAAATAGGATTGGATAATATAAAAACTGACTTGGACTGACGCATAATTAAAATGCCAGTGCCATGTGGCTGGTTTGCCACGAAGATAAAACGCTGCCCGGGGATATCAAAAGCAGAATAGTGTCGCGGGGGGTCAAAAGTCATTAAAGTCCGCTGCTTCAAGTTTTTTAATTGCAATTATAAAAAACAAAACTTTGTTTAAAATAAACTTTACTTTTTTTCCCGCCATCTCCCTTCCCTAGAGAAGGCGAATTGTATATATTTTATTTTTTGCCCCTGGCACTAAGTGGCAGGTAATTGAAACTGACCCAGCTCATCATGCGGCAAAGGTTGGCGACAAAGCCGACTTGTGTGCCATTTCAAGTTTATGCAGTACTTGCATGTGTCCAAAGCGAAAAAGTTGTATATTTATTTACCAAAGCCACGACTAGCCTTGGAAAAGTAAAAGCTGGGACTTTTTCGTTGGATTCAGGCATGAAAAAAATTGTTTTGGTAGTACTTAGTTATATTTTGAGCTTTTTGAAAAACTACCATAATATATGAATTTACAAAGACCCTTATTTTGCAGGATATAAAAGTAGTAACATTAAGCCAACATATAAAGTACTACTACACATTTTTAATCTAAATCTTTTAAATGGAATTTATTGTTTATTGCTTTTAAAAGATAAATTTTCGTAAAACAAATATTTGTGCTTTTTCAATATACATGTGTGAATTGTGCGGTTTTAGCATATAATGGGTGTATATTTCACTGGTGCAGTTTGGAGTGCTTTTTATAAATAATGAGGGTTCTATGGGAGAGATGATATATGGAAAGTAGGAGCTATTAAGGGGATCACATTAAATAACAAAAAAGGAACATCTAGAGGAACACATCTAAGAAACATCTAGAGCGAACATTCAGAACACACAGAAATTAACTGCAAGACATGATCAATAATCGATAAAATAGGACTAAAAAATAACATCTAGAATTATATTAAAAAAATATGTAATTCTTAAAAATGAACTAAGCAAAATGGAATGAAATTTAATTCATGATTTGATTTTTTTTTTTTGTGATTAACTCTTTTGCACGAAAAATGAACAGACCTGGCTTTGATCGAGACGACTTTGCCGCCAACGGGCATATTTTCCTTGACATAAATGGGCCCATAGACAGTATGATCCCAGACGGGCGGATTGTTTGCACGATCGACCACATCGATTTGTACTTCGACAGTACGCGATAATGGCGGATAGCCCTTGTCTTGGGCCATGGCCTCTAACTTGTAAGTCTCGCGCTGTATTTTATATACATTTCACGATCAATATTATCAAAAATCGTTTGGTTTTATTTTGTATCAAAATCAAGCAAGGCGTTGCAAAAATGACAGACGCGTCGATATTGGTTGGTAAATACGATATTCGTTCAGGAAAAAGGCAAAAAACAAAATTATATAATATAGTTGAAACCTTTTATATAAATAAGTTCTAAAAAAGGTTTAATTATAATAATTGTAGTTTCTTGGTTAAAAATCAAAATGAAAATTGTAAACCAACACCTCTTGTTAAAAAAGTTAGATTATAATGGAAAAACGGGAAAAAAGAAAATATTTAAAGTTTAAGGCCTGTGGTAAAAAGTATTTTTAAATGCAGTGCAAAGTATTTTATATAGTCTCGACCCTAGCCTTCAAAAATAAAGTTCATATCCTTTGGATAAATATTTGTAGCATTAAAATGAAAATGTCAACAAAATATTAAATTTAATAAACTAATATAGGGTTTTGTGCATTTTATAAGTACAATTTTCATAGCATACTTTACACAGTTTGCTGCGGTTATAGTTTTTTCGATTTCGACTATTGCTTTTTAACATTTTTGAACACTTTGTGTGGTTACCTTTATTCCTCTAGCTTACAACTAAACTGCAACCTTGTTTGGCTTATATAAGAAGCGATTTATCATGTTAGAGTAGCGTATTTCTCGAATGAAAACCAACACCAAAAATTTCAATACGATTCTCACAATATTTAAGGCATTAATTCATTTGGGATATTTGAGTCTTTGAAGGAGGAAAATCACAGTTCAGAGAGGAAAGAGCCAATCCAATGGGTAATGTGTGTTTTTGGTGGAGAGAAGGGGAAAAGACTCTACAAAATCCAAAAAGATCCTGAGGGGCAACCATGTGAAAAAGCAGATTGCTCGCATCAAAATCAAATACAGACCAGCAACAAAAGTTTTCCAGATTTTGAATTTTTCCACTTCCATTTTCCATCGTTTTTTTTTTGTTTACAAATTTTGAAGGACTTTTGGTTGCGGTATTCGATGAGAGCTTTTACGATATGCCGCCAAAAAAAAGGACTTTTCGTATCGCAAAGCTCCCGTAACAGTAAAAAGACCGTATGTTAAAAATAGATGAAAGCTTATGCTATGTTAACCAATCGCTAAATGCTGTTATTCTCAAAAAAATTGTATTTAATTAGGTTACCGACAGCTGTTAGACTCTCAAGTTAGATTTAGTTTTAGTTTAGTTTTAGTAATAGATGTGGAGTTCTCATTGGCTATACAAACCTTGCCTTAACTGATGTTACAACCGTACCCACAGTTACATTCTCGCGTATGTAAATCGGCCCGTAAACGATCTTATCCCAAATGGGCGGCTTATTATTCCGATCGACGACATCTAACTCAACGTCGACATCGGCTGCCGAGGCGGGAGTGCCCTTATCGGAGGCGCTAACCCTCAAACGATATCGATCACGCTGTTGATTGATTTGATTGATTGATTGGGTGAATTTCGATTGAAGCAGTGGTACAAGTTTAGGGCCAAAATGTTAGCGTCAACAGCAAAACGGTATTAACATTGCAAGGAGTAGTCGAGAACCGAACCCAAAATGTTAGCATTGGTTACGTTTTGGTTTGTGTATTGGGTTCACGTCATTACGATTACGTATTTGATGGCATCGTTGTTTAAATGTTTTTTATCAATCAAATGTTGTTATAAGTATATGAAACATAAAACAAATTAAATATATAACAAAATATTCGATAAATAAGGGATATATATTCAAACATTTGGGATGAGGACAGGATTAGTATGGGTAAAGAAGCATTGTTACAAGGAATTTGGTGGGTCGGTTCACATAAATGGTATGTTTTTTGACGAGACTATTTCTTGCTCTATTTTGAGTTGCCCTAAGGTGAATCTTTTACATTTAATGAAGCACAGCCTGCTTCTTGAGTTAGTTTCATTTTTGGGTTAGCTTACAGGCCTGTCTTATGACATTTTTTAGGGGGGTTAGCACAGTTACAGTAATTGCATTTACTTACTGGATAACAACCCTAATTTGTTGATTTAACATTCGATAGTACCATAATTTTGGATATGTAAAGATAAATGGTAAATTAAAATTTAAACCATTAAAATGCCTCGATCATCTTTCCTCTCAAAGACTTAGAAAATAAGAAAAATAATAATGTAATGGTGCAGTTAAAACAAAAATACTTTAATACATCCTAATAATCTCCATGGAAAAATATTAACCCACATTTTTCATGGGCATGCAAAATTAAATGTTCTTCAAAAATGTTTGGTAAACATTGGTTTCAAAAATATAAGTTTGAGCTAAGGCAAAAATGGGTAAAGCTTACAGCAAGAGACGTTCAAAAAATTGCATAGTCTCGACAAAAAGTATTTGTTTTGTTTTTCTTGGGACTTTTTGGGAACTTTTTTTTGGGTAAAAATAAAAAAGGCAATACAAAATTAGACTATTGAAAGAGGTAAAACTATATTATAAAAATTTTATTGGTTCGAACCCTCAAAAATGGGTTACAACGATGCTCAAAAATGTTCGTGATCGTTTAGGGGTATTCCTTTTCAAATAGTTTCAGTATTTACATTTAGCTTATGAGTATAAACCTGGTACCGAAAAAAACAAGTAGCTGAACTGTTATAAGCATAGTTTTCCCATCTCCTTATACTTCGGTTTTTTGTTTCTTATTTTGTGTTAGTTTGATTTGTTTCAAAAAATGTTAAAAATCAATTAGCTTTCTTTGCATGTTTTGCACGTGGTTAGGTTACTTTGTTTGGCCAATGTTACGCACTATAAACTAAACAAAACAATTGGAATCAAAGAAATATATTTGTTTAAGTTATATCCTTACGCAGATTTTGATGGATAGGCAAAAAACTTGCACTGTTTGCACATCAAATTCTATTTCACCTACCACTTTTTTGCGGACTTGTAGAACATTGAAATAAAAATAAAAAGAAAGGTGCAGTTTGAAAGAAAACCGAAAAACGCAATAATAAGATAGTTAGATATAGATACAAGCCGCTAAGTCTGACTAGAACTTGGTGGATGCTAAGCATCCGTCATTGAATTAGTTAGTAAAAACATAAAGAGTTGTACTTTTTGGTAAATTAAAACTTTAAATTTAAATTATAAGACTTGGTTAGTTGGGACTTGGTAAACTCATAATTGGGGTAATAGATATTTGAAAAATTCTCAAGGCCAAATGAAAAGCAAACACTTACGTCAAGCGGTTTCTTCAGCACAATCCAACCGGATTCGGCCTGAATTTCAAAATATTCCAGATCGTTAGGATTGAAGGGGGCAGTCAGGCTGTATACTATAGCTCCATTGTTATCGGCATCTTCATCAGAAGCGGAGACACGGAGGATATTCGTGCCAATGCTGGCATCCTGTTTTACATTCTCCACATATTTCTGAAATATACCAATAATTAGATATGTATTGGGTTATGGAGATTTTTAAATATATCACTCACCTGACGATCGAATAGTGGGGGATTATCGTTAACGTCTGTGATTTCCACAGTAAAAGAGCAGACACCCTCCAGACTTGGATCACCCTGATCGGTGGCCTTAACTGTGACCGACACAAACTTGCCGTCATCTCCTTCACGATCGAACACCTTGTTGGTGGACACCTCTCCAGTTTCCTCGTCCACTGTAAACTTTGTTCCCTTCTGATTCGGCTGCTGAACAATCGAGTATTTCACCTGTCGCAAGAACATGCAAAATTGTTTAATGATTGACACAAATTGCGATTAGAGCTGTTGAGGCATTCGACCTCCGCACACGACATGCACTCCACAGTGCATTGAACTTGGCGGGCACGAAAAGAAAATTATGGCCAAATCTCGTCATGGAATCTCCCTATCGTTTCCACATACATGCAGGTAATTGAATTAGGTGTGGGTAATCATGTTTGCGTTGGCCTCAAAACACAAATAACGTATAATTAATCAGGTCTGCCGCCCGAAAGGGGAAAGTAATTAGGGACAGGATAATCAAAAGAGGCCTTGAATATGACTTTGCTATTGGTAAAATCTAGTATGTACATCTAAATTAGTTAATGCAGCAATTAATGGAACTTGTCCACTTGATATCAGCCAAAAGCTGTTATTTTTTGGATACTTAATAAGAGGAATGCAATTTCATTAAAAAAGGTTATTAGTGTCGATGGATAGCAGGCTAAAAAATCTTTAGTTTGGAGGGACAAGGGAATTACGTCTATATTGGCAGTTAGGTGTTTTTTTGTCTTGTTCTTGAATTATTTGTACTAACAATTAATGGAATTAATCAATCATTTATGGGCATTGACTAGCTACATTTTAACTATCACACAATCATGGCTTAATAATTGAACATTGGTTTCTTAACAGCAATTCGTACCTGTCCATTCACGCCCTTATCCTCATCGGTGGCCACAACTTTGATGACAGGACTTCCGTTGGGAGCTCCTTCCTCGACTTTTGGGTAGTAGGTACTGCAGTCCTTGAACACCGGCTTATTATCGTTGACATCGGTGATGAAGACCACTACCACGGCAGTTGAGGTGTGGATAGTTTGATCGCCATTCACACAACACGATCCATCGTCCATGGCGGTGACGTTCAACTCGTACTTGTCCCTGTCCAGGGAAATGGCTTTATTGTGCAGTCGGATCACACCGGTTATATCCTCGATGACAAACTGACCCGACGAAGTGCCGCCACCCACGAATCCAAATCGTACATTATCACCATCCTTATCGGAGGCCACCACAGTGGTCACCAAAGTATTCGGACCGGCATTCTCATCGACATTGGGTGTATAGACTTGCTGTGAGAACTTTGGCTCCTCATCGTTCTTATTTTTGGTGTAAACACGAACTGTAGCCACTCCCGATTTTGGCGGTTCACCTTTGTCCTTGGCAGTGACTATGAACTCATAGTAGGCATTATTGTTATCCGCATCCAATTGCTTGTTGTTCACGATGATTCCATTGGAATCCACGGCGAAATGGTCATCGGACACTAGGTATTCGATTTCGGCATTCGATCCGGAATCCGAATCCATAGCTTTGACACGAAGTATGCTTGTGCCCAGCGGAATATCCTCATCCACATTGTGGGCCTGATAATCGGGCAGCTCGAACTTAGGAGCATTATCGTTCACATCAGTTACGCGAATGGTGAGCTGAAAGATGTAATTTGTAAATTAATTGTTGCTATCATTTGTTTTAAGTCAATGGTACAGAAAAGATTTGTTTAAAGACTGTTTGAAAACTAAAACATAACTTTTATACAATTTTTATCCAATCGTTTGAGTGCTTTAAATATGTTTGATTAAAAATTATTTTTCCTGTCTTTAAAATATGTATATTAAAGATTTATATTTTTCTGTTACAAACTTAAAGATTTTCTGCAGGAGAAATATATGTATGATAGATTATTTCTCCATCTTTTCTGTACCATAACCGCTCAACATGTATTTCCCATTCACTCACATCGACAGAGGTGGAAAATCCCCCGGAGTCCTCGGTGGCTGTCACAATCAGCGAGTACACGTGCGGCTGTCGCAGATCCTCAAAGTCCAACTCCTTGGCCAACTTGACAATGCCCGACGTGGGTCCGATATTAAAGGTGCCGGCTCCCTGGCCCTGGGCCTTCAAAGTGTAGCGGATTTCGCGGTCTGCGAACGACTTGGCCTTAATCGAAATGATGCTGAAAGGATACGGAAAAGTTAGCCAAGGGAAATGGAAAATTTTCTTGCATATTTTAGGTCCATCCACAGGCCACTTCAAGCTCAGCATGTATGTATGTATGTATCTGCTTGTCACTCGCTCCACTGCCTTTTGACAGTTGTTTTCCCATCAGAATTTCAATGAAGACAAACACACACATGGCCATCGTCTAGTTCACATTGTTATGCATAACTTTTATTGGCAGCCCCACGAAATTTGCATACACTGGGTTAAAAATGCTGATTGGTCGACTTGAATTTCATCTTTCAATATGTCTTCCCATATAAAGTAGAGTGACCAACCCTTTCTTTAAGTTTAAATCTTGAACATTTGTTTTACCGGAATAGAAAAATAAATAAAAATGAGTGACCAGCAATTTTTCATATACAAATCTCTACAACCTTACATAAATCAAAAATTCAAGTTCCTTAAAATAACACATATAAAATGTTCAAAGGCTTTGAATCAAAGCCCTTTATTTTAAGCTTAATATCTTCTGAAATCTTAGAGCACTTGTTAGAGGCCTAAAAAAATCTATCCCGATTTTTTAGAGTATACTGATTTATACATTTTTTGCGATGGTTTTTGTTTGTTTTATTTTCCCATTTGTGTTGACTTACTCGGAGTCCTTTTTCTGGTTTTCTGGAATCTCGGCTTCATAGCTGGGCATATAGAACTGAGGAGCTCGTTTGCCACCAACAATAGACAGTCGCTCCTCCGGAGTACTCTGGAATCTGCGATCATCGACCTTTCCATTCTGATCCTCGGCCTTCACATACAGGACATACTCCATATCCAGTTGAAAGAGATCCGTGCCCCTAGTTCGCACCACTCCAGATCGCTCATCCACCTCGAAACGTCCGCCAGTTCGATCGCGAACGATGAAGTAATGGATATTATGATCGGTATCGGGATCTCGGGCTTGGAGTGTAAAAACGGGAGTATTGGGTGGTGCATTTAGCTGGACCACGGCCTGCATTGGCAGCGGTCGGTTGATGAAGTACGGTGGCTCATCGTTCACATCCTTCACCAGGATTATCACACGCTGGTTGTCCGTATACTTGATGCCAGCTGAAACACAGAAAACATGGTAGAAAAGCATGAGAAATTTTCGTTTTCCTTTTTGGTTTGTTTGTATTTTGGCTTTTTCGGTCGGTTTGCCGAAACTTTTGCCTTTTGTTATTACAACTAATGGATAGTGGTTTGGGGGGACATAGGAATAAGAGATGGTCGGGTAGCCCCTTTGTAATTTAAGGTTCTCCGGTTTCAGTTAAGCCATTCAAATGCAATCAGCCGGAAAAGCAGTCTCAAGGCAAGGCCAAAGTCTGGCACAAAATGTTGGCCTTAAGGGCAAATTAAATTGTTGGAAAATAATTATTATATATAATAGAAAAGCAAGTTATTTTTCTTAAACTGTATATATACACCTATCTATTTTTAAATCTATCTTTCTTCTTATCTCTCTATATAAATGTTACTTTTAAATGCACAACAAATTTATTACATTTTAAGGCTTTTAAACTTGGCTTAGTAATTTATTAATGAATTTACTTTTGTAATATTTATTTACTTCACATAACACTTTCGGGCTGTAGAAATTCCTAAAATAATTGAATATTCTTTCGAGCTAGCGAAATGCCACAACTTATAATTTCCACTAAACATGCACACAAAGAATGGTTAAACTTAAAAGAAATCAATAAAAGGCCGAGAAAAGAGAAAGGTAAGGAAGCAATGCAGGGGTCGTATTTTTTTTTTTTTCTACTACCTTTGCAAAAAATGTCTGCACCGGAAAATTCCAATCATGTTGTTGTGCTTCTCCCTGTTTTTTCATTCTGTTTTTTTTTTTTGGTTAGGGCAAACAAGAACGGCAAACGAGGGGAACCCCAAGCTGACGGACGCTTATTAGAGGCGTGTGCAGTTTTTTTATTTTTGCGGAAAAGGGGGCGAAAGGTGGGCGGTGGAAGGTCGGCTGAAGTAGCGGGCAAATAAAGCAGACGATTTACCTGCCCGCCTTCAAACAACACAAAGAAGAAATTCGAGCGCCATATAAAAAAAAGGGGCAGCGAGAAAAAATACGAAGAAAGTAGAAGAGAAAAAGAAATGAGCCAAAATGGGGGTGAAGCATGTGTAATTTCTCAAGAGCAAAGTGAATTGTAAACAGGTAGCAGAGGCTAACCCTTAACCCGTGTAAGCAAATATTGCAATTGAAACAAAGACGCAACGCGTCGAAAATTTTGGCAAAAAAAAAGTACAGAGGGAAATAAACAACATTTTCGCTCAACAGATTGCACAGAAAATGCAAGAAAAAACTTTTTGCCAAGCGCACAATGAAAATGCCATGTATTCGGGTGGAAAAGTGAGGGAGTGGAGCGTTTTCTCGGGCATAACTTGGCAGAGTTATTTACTGATTCTTGCCAACTTTTGTTATTTCCCTGCCAGCTTGGCATTGTAACGCTTTTCTATGGCTTATTGTGCTAGTGCCAAGCAGGTACAAAATCACTAAAAAAAATATAATACCATTTTCTATACTCATACATATATAACTTGAAATTTAAATAATACGAAGCGAGTTTTATTGTTATGGGTGTGTGTGAGCGGTACTAATGTGCATTGGGTTTCGCCATGAAGGAAAAGCAGCAGCCAACATGGCGGATTTCCGTGGCGACAATGCACATGATGGGTTGGAAAATGGTCGGTGGAAAGCGGGGAAAACGCCTTTTGTAGTCTAGCAATGGAATAGTCGGAGAGTGTGTGATTTTCAGGATTAAAATGGGAAGAGCGAGAACGTTTTTCATTATGTTGGGCGCTACAATAAGCATGAATAAATGTGATTTGTGATTAAGTTTTTCATGGAGAAAACTACAAAAATGTGGAATAGTTGAAGCATTTTTAATTATAGCTTGGCATTAAAATGGGGCATGAGAATAAATAATGGTTTTGTAGAGTAAAAATACGTTATGTGTTTTTTGACAAAACATTTTGGGCCAATAAAAATTAAGATACTTTTTTATTGACTTTATTACTTAAAATGATAATACTTGAAAATTTAAGTTAAAATTTTTTTAAAAAAATTGTATAAAACATATCTTAAAATTCTAGACTTATTTTTAAATTTTTGTAAGATTCCTAAGAAAAATGTATTCGTTATCATATTTATAGTTCAATACTTTTGAAGCTGTTAGTTCTTAGTGTATTGTATTAGCACGTCCCATATTCAAGGCAATTTTTATAAAGTGTCCTACAATTTATACCCGGAAAATGTAGTAATAATGAGCCATCATCTTCGCCACTTAGCCTGCGCACATTCGTTTCAATTTAATGAAACTTCTTGGCACATCGTGGCCCCCTTTTTTAGACACCCCTAAAACACTGTCATTGCTTCCTCTATATGAGAACCTATGTGTGTAGCCTTTTTCTTATCAAAAACGCCATATACCCGCACATATGCACATTAAGTGACTGTCACACGCGATGCGAACCGAGGAGAGATCCTTGAGGAGTCAAAACCAGGCAGCTACTATAATGCTCGTAATCACTGCCAAGGGATGCCGTTTTCCCCATCTCCGAAATCTCCCCTCGGAGTCATAGCCATTGTCATCATAAGCTAGCCAAGGGATGCAGTAGGAAGAGATCAAAGGGGGTTAGGATGGGATGCATACAGCCAGGGAAGTAGCTAAGGGGGGGCACCCAGGGGTTAGCACTAAATGAAACACCCAAAAGCAGACGGCGAAGATTTTGTACCGGCTTTGTCTCCACTCCCGTTTGCATTGCACTTCAGACGCGCTTTGGGACTACAATGGGGAAACAGGCTCAAATGGTGGAGAAGAAATTCAGACAACAACCAAAGGATAACTAGCTTCAGAGAAAAAATTTAAAATGTCCTTATAAAAAAAAATTAGCAAATGACAAAAAATTAGCTTTATTGTATTGTCGATTCCAACGTTCTCTCCACAATTAATCATTAAAAATAAATAAATAAATCAATAATTTTTTATGGAAAAATACAACTTTCTGCAAATTAAAATTGGCTAACTTTTTAACATATTATAAAGTGGGTTAGAATAATTTAAAGACCAGACTTATTTAAAAGATTTTTAGTTATAATGTTACTCTTTTGAATTAAATAAGCACCCTTTGGAAGGGTACAAAAATTGGAATAAAAGAGCGACAAGAGGTTAAAGTTGCTAATATCTGAAAAATGCTGCGGCTGCACCTACATCTCTCTGTCTCTTTCTCCTTTTATCGCTTTATCTCTTTTCATTTTCGTGGAGTGTAGAAACAAAACAAAAGTCCAGAAGAAAAAGTGCGAGACTGCCATCGTGGATAGAACAAACAAAGCATCTTACTGTTTCAATGGATTAAGTGGAAGGCAGCCAAAGTGAGAAGATGCACTGAACGAAAAACCGTTGGAGGTTGGGGAGCCCAACCGAAAGAGAAAGGGGTAAAAGCTGGAAGAAGGGCTCATCAGAGCTCAGACGATTTTTAGGGGATGTGGCTCATCGTCTGTGGTGCCATCTTCAAGTGGGTGCCAGCTTGAACTTTTCCAAGTTTTTCTCCTTTTCCACCCTTTACCCACCCACTCAACCCCCTTTTCCGACATATTCTATAGCGGAAGCAAACGAATCTGTGCATGAGTGAGATGCGCGGATAAAAATTGAATTTGGTTTGAAAATTGGCATGTGAAACTTGTGCTACGTGCTGCATTAATGTCATTTTTCTCTAAATAAACCTATTTTGTGCGTTTACGTTTCAAAAAATTACACTCAAACGGCTTTTATGACAAAGGAAAATCAACGAGACAAGCAAAGCTATTATTTAATTAAACTTAAGCTTTTAAAGTTAAGCGATATTTCAAGATAATTCATTTAATTTAATTTTAAATAGATGTAAGAGCATACTTTAGTTATTCTTATATTATTATTGGACCTTATAAGAAGAATAGTTCAAAGTTTTCCAATGTCTTATCTGTCAATAAACCACTCAAGAAACATAGTTTTCCGCAACATATTATGAAACCATCAAACTCTATTCTTGTTCTTATCAGCCACTCGGAGAATGTTCCCAATTTTTCACCACAATTTAACGGCAACTTAGCCTTTATGACTTTGGAAAAGGGACCATGCCTTTTCGACATCCCCACAACCCCGCATCCTCGAAAGCTGAACAATTTGCACCCCACCGTGTTCGACATAATCAAGAGGGTCAGAATGCGATTCAGTTCGGTTCGGTTCGTGGCTCTCGGCTTGATTAAAATGCAGTCAAGTCGAAACTTTATTCTTCGGCTCAAGATCCAGGTACGCGAGCCACAAATGAATTTCTTCATTTTCTGCTGCGGTTTCAATGGAAGAAAACTTGAGTTGAGGGCGTCAGGGGCCTTGGATAAATACGTGCAAGAAATACAAGTACAATGTTGAGCAGCAGTTTCCCCCACCGAAATATTTTTATGGCTCCTGTAATATTTTCCCTTTTGCAGGGGCAAGAGCTCTCTCTTTTTACGACCATCCTTTTGCCATGGACTTAATGAAGCTGTTAACAATGGATTCCGGGCAAAGTAGAAAAATCCATTGCCAAATATTGAATAAACGTATTGATTGTAGCTAATTCGGATTGAAGTTTTTTTGTGCACTGCCATGATTGCTCTAGAGAAAAGTGGCAAAGATCTGAGGAAACGGAAACAGAAGCCAGAATAATCGAATTGGAGAGTTTGAGCAAACTCATGGGACCAGGACCCATGGCAACTGATGGAAAGCCATTTAAAGTTGAGGAAATGAGTCAAGAGGAAAAACTTGCCAAATAATGAACTACAAAGAGATTTTTCTGGTTTACTTTTTGATAAATCGTTTTTGATAAGTAACCTGTTATACGGGAAATAAAAGAAAAGCAGAAGGAAAATATTTCATATTTATTTAGAATTTCTTTTTTTTTGCTTTACTCTTTCATAGTATGAACTTGTTTAATATTACAGAACAAATAGTTTAACAACTTATCAAAGCAAGGAAACAATACTGTTATTTAACTTTTAAAAAATATTAAGAATAACATGTTCAAGAAAACAACAACAACTTAAT